TACAGACATACAGACATACAGACAAATAGGTTTCGTAGTTCGTTGTATTGATGCTTATGTGAAAATGCATGTGTATATACCCTGAAACCCCCTAACCCCCTACAAAGTCGCAGAGTCCTAAGCGCCAAATCCTAACCACGTCTCGTAGCACCTGAATTTGTTCCTGAGAGCTCACCCCTAAACCCTAAACGCCTAAACCCCTAAACCCCTAACCCCTAGCCCGCGCCCGGCCCGGTCTATTCGGCTCCTGGGTCATCTTGCTGAAGTTCACCTGCATCACTAGGGTTCAGGGTTGTCTTGTTGAGTTTAGGGCTCAAGGTTTTTGTAGGGTTCAGGGTAGGGTGAATTCAAGATTTACGGTGTCGCACTCGCGGTGAAACAGCTATGTGGGAAAAGAGTTTCCGAGGCATAAGCCACATAAGTGCGAGGCGCATTCATGCGTGAACAGGAAATCTTCAAATTCAGCTTCCCTTCTGTCCGAGCTACGCTTCCTATGAACACTCAGAGATTTGGAGCAGGCAGATGCCTTGAGATTAAAGCTCTCTGTGTGTCAGGACACGACCCAAACGCCATGAACCTCAAACCTGCAGATTAAACTCTTTATCCTTTGTCTCCTTTCTCACACCCTAAACCCTAAACCCATCGCCCTAAGCATCCCATGTACGGACAGATCATCGAGACGTCCATCTTAGCCCCTACTCCTGCAGTCATTCGCAAGCATCCAGATCTCGTCTTCCTCACCTTAAACCAATCCCTGGCTTGGGGTCAGCTACTATGGGGCGTTTTTGATGTTACCTGCTGGGTTTGGAAGGTTCAGGCGCAGGATTTCGGAGTTCCAGGGCTCTTTTGCACGTTCTGGACGCCATCCACGTCCGAAAAGATTCTGAAGTGCCTAAAGCAGCACTAAAGGGCTTAACGCCAACAAAGAACTACGAAAACCAAGGATCTGCTCGGTCGCTGAGTCCCGAAGCCCGATCGTGACACCTGGACCCTACCTACCTGAACCAATCCTGCTGAATCCCCATTGAAAAAATTAATGCATACTGCATACCGATACTATGCAACACCCTAAAGAAACCTTGAACCCTATAATAACCCTATAAACCCTAAACTCTAAAACCTAAACAAGCCCTAAACCCTATAATGCCCTACAACCCCAAGGTCGATTCCACCTTGCCACCCCTGACATCGTCAGCCCTCTCCGCAGGCCTCGTACTTCTCCTATCGAGACATGGAGGCTTGGGGCAATGTAGGGGCCATAATAGATAGAACAGGGTTTTGAGGTTTTTTGGGTATATTATACTATGAGGATAGGGGCCATGATGGATGGAATAGGGTTTTGGGGTATATTATACTATGAGTATAATCAGGAACCCTACCACAGTCTGGGTAATATATTTAGACCCCTGAAGTACGCTTTCGTGAGCTTCTTGGCCGGATGAAGGGTTGAAAGGTCAGGCTCCCAGCTTCGGGTGAACTCGGGGATAGACATCCTGTCGGAGTGTCTCTGGGTTCGTGGCGAAGGGGGTTTACGGTGGAGGGTCTCGGGGTCTGGAGTTTAGGGTTTAAGGGTTTAGGGGTTTGGGGTGTAGGGTTTCAGGGTTTAGGGTTGCTGCCTCGGTTGGGTTGGCTTCCGAACAGAAGGCAGGCTGCTCAAAACTTAGCGCAGAATCATGCTACGCCCTTAATCCCAACGCACCAGAACCACCAGCCAAAGAAACTCGACATCCACCCTAAACCCCAAACCCTAAACCCCAAACCCAAGCAAGGGCACTGGGGAACCCAAAGATGCAGTAACCCCAACCCGGAACCCAAGATCCCTAAAGCTGGCCCTTGCTCTCTTGAGAACCGGAACCTCCCAAACATGATGTAAGGGACTTCATAGTTAGAATAGGGCTTTGGGGTCCTTGATAGTATAATTATAACAAGGAGCCCCCAAAATAGTATAGTAGGTAATTATTAAGGCCTCTATATATTAGTCCCAAGCAGCAGGCATTGAGTGATGTCAGAATTGGAGGGTTTTGAAGCGTGTACGTACGAGGCTCCAAACAGGGACTGTTTTATGCCCCAAACCCTAAAACCTATAAAACTCCAACACCCAAAACCCTAAAAGCCTAAAACAATAAACCCTAAAACCCTAAACCCTAAGCCCCTAAAACCAAGAAGCCCTAAACCCTTAACAACCGTCAGGGCTTAGGTTTATAGGGATTAAGACCCATAGAACTGGCAGCAAAGAACAACTCCGTTGAGGAATCCTCCTTGGGCCTTCCACCATAATGAGCATGCAGAATAATTCCTTGTTTATGACTTTTGGGGCTTATGGGCTTATACTAGAATGAACATTGAACATGACGAATTGGGCTCTTAGGCCCCTTAGGGTGTCAGTGTGCTCTACGAGCCTCAGCAACCCAACTGGGTCGCTGGGGTAGCATTTTGTAGGGGTTCTCAAAGTAATCATGCTTTTAAAAGCTAGAAGGCTTCAGGAATGGATGTCAGCGTGGTCGTCCGGTCCTTCTTGCCGTTGATGAACCTGGATAGGCAGCGACGGGGAGTAGGCGAGTCTTGCCGGCACTAGCTTGCGAGTACGGGTGCAGGGCTACGACACGAAACATCATAGACACAAGTGGAGGTCTTCGACTTGGGGTACCATTCCTTGGAGTTTCTACAAAGTATAGTCTACTATTTAAGGTGTATGATGCGGTCTGTGGTGTGGGGATCACGAAGCTGCAAAGCCGAAGGCTTTGGAGACAGGAGATGCACCCCCAAAACCTGCATTCTAGCAGACCTTACACCTTCCCTGTACAAAAGGTTTAGGGCTTTGGGGTTTAAGGCGTAGAATATCTTAGACTTTAAAGGCGAAAACCATGAATCCTACACTTCTTTAAGTCAAAGTAATCATTCGAGCCTCCACACCTCAAGAATGGCGGACGCAGAGCTTTACGACTGATGTTTTAGTGTAGGTTCTGGTGGGTTCAGAGGTTCGTTGACTGCAACATACACGTCCCGCGTGAGTCCATCTCGAAGCTCCTGCCACTTCATATTCGCGTCTAGTCTAGGGGTTTAGGGTTCAGGGGTTACGGGGTTAAGGGCTTTGGGGGTTTAGGGCTCGTACTATCCTGCATCTTCCTGACTGCTGTCTGTAGGCTTAGGGCCTACATTGAAAAGCTCCTGACAGCTTGGGAAGCCCCACCAACCCGGTTCCTGCTTCTCCCTTCCCCTCCAACCCCTATCCCTGCCCTATCCTCACCCCTCCCCGAACCCTAACCACTCCTTATAATTATAGTTGTTCACTTCCCTAAACTCGGAAATTCTACACCCTAAGCTTGTAAGTCAAGGGGCATGTTAAATCGCGCCGTTCTCTGTCCGGACATGTAGGCGGTCTTCAGCTTCTTGTCCTCGTTCTTCCTGAGGGGCAGGAGGGCTTGTAGGGTTTAGGGTGGAGGGACCTCTTGAGAACTTCGGCTTAAGAGATGTAGAGCTTAGGGCCTGGGGTTTTTGGGGCCCAAGATTTGCGGTTTGGGCCCCAATCATCGTACCCAAGTAGGATCTCTGCTATGCTGACGCACACTCCCTGCCGATGCCGCTCGCTACCCTGAAATTTTAAACCCTTCACGATCAGGCGCCACCAGACAACAACGAGAATCAACTGCTACCACGGATTTTCGATCGTCTACTTGGAGGTTCATGGGTAGATGAAGTAGGGATACAAGCAGGATGACCACGGTTATATGAGTTGTATGAGCATATTCAAGGACTCTTACTTCCACTTATGACTGCCCAGGAACCTCCAAGTACTCTAACTGCTAAATGGGGGTTTCCGAACATAGGGGGACCCTAATATAATACCCTTAAATAGTAGGATGCTTATTGTAAGGACCCCCAAAATAAGGGGTCCCCTATGTTTCGGACCTAGATCCCAAGTCTCGATCCTGAAGCATCCTCCTGGGGTTCTCCGGGCCAACGATCCTCTTGAGTTCGTGCTAGGGTTTGGGGTTTAGGGGCCCTTGTGGGTCCTTTCCACTCTTGCAGTAGCAAAGGCTGTCTTCAATGAGGGGTTGGGGTCTTTTGGGGGTTAGGGGTTTAGGGTTTAGGGGTTTAGGGTGTTTTTGGTGATCAGGTCTGCACGGGGTGCAGCAATGCTCGAGCACTTTGCCGATCAGCGCTAAGCTTTAACCCCCAAGCGGTGCAAGACGGCCACCAAATTCCAAAATGCCACAGGAAGGAGCCGACTACCCTTTCTGTACTTCGACTGCCGGTGTAATCGAGGTTAAACGGGTATACGATTGCTAAGTAATGTTCAAGAATTTATACTGGTCCTCATATAGGAATGTGTCTTGCGTCTGGCCAACTCTGTACTCTAAAGAGGAAACTGCCAGTCCCCAGCTATGCGACAGAATTCTCAAAACCCCGGGATTCAACAATAAGAAGAGGGTGATTGGTTAGTCTGCGGAGCCCCCAAGGGAGTGATACAGAATGCTACGGATTTAAATTAAACGCCTCCAACAACCGGAACTTGAGAACCCTGACCCAAATGGCTTGAAACGACAACCATCACGATTAGCCCTGGACATTCTCTGAAAAGCAATGGGAATTCAGATCTTCTCAGCCCCGCTTCTGCAAGGTCACAGGGCCCGAAAGCCCAGCTAAATGATTGAACCTGATCAATATTAAATATTATATATTCTATTACATATTGTACTATCTATTAGATTTTATATTATATTATAGTATAAGCCCTCTCAAACGACCACCGGAAGCTCGTCAAAGCCGTATAAACAGACGCTTGGACAACCCAGATGCCTGCTGAATTCAGAAAATCCAACCTTATTCCTTATAGGGCTTCTGATTACAAGCATATAGCCATAAAGCATCATGAAGTTGCGAATACGGTACCTAAATACAACTATTATATTATATTTCCTGAACATAAGAAAGAGTAACAAACCCCCGCAGCCCCAACGTTGAAATGCATTAGTGGTCGAAGTTTCGAACCAAACTCCACCAAACCCAAAACTCGACTTATTAGGGCTTATACTGCGGAACTCATATTGCAGATCCCTCATAGAACCCTGAAAGGGATCCTCGTTAATTCGGCTTCCTGGGCTCGTCCAACAGAGTCCAAAGCTTCGAGTAGCATTCCTTGCTACAACTTATCCAACTACAGCAAATAAACCCTAAACCCCAGACGCTACCTGGAAACTATAAAACCTCGAAAAGGAACGCTTTGTCGAGTCCAGGTGGACCCTAACCCCCCCCCCTCAAAAAAAAAAC